GTAAGAGGTGTCAAGGTAATAGACCAGGTAAGTTGATGTCAGCCTTAGCAAGTTGAAGCTCTAATAGAACATCGCTGATTTCTTGAAACTTTAGATTGTCGCTTGCAGAAATCCTTGGGAAGCTTTGCAACCTTTTGAATAAAGCATCTTCAATGGTCTTTGGGCTGCCAAAGGTATGTTCTAGTCTGCCCCAAGCAGCATTAAAGCCTGCAGCAGGGTTTTCAATATGAACTGCTTTGAGCCTATTGATGCATTCAGTGGACTGGGGACCTAGCCATTTGATGAGTAGATCTAATTCCTCTGTGGCATTGATGTCTAGGTCACTCATTGTGGCCTTAAAAGTGGATTTCCAGCCTCTGTAATTTTCAGGCTTATCAAACTTGGTGAGGCCTGTCTTAACAAGCTCTCTGCGGAGCATGTATTTAGCAAACTGTGACATGTCCATGTTTTCAGATTTTGGATGCGTGACTGCAGGTGGAACAGAGTTGATTCTGACGGTTGGTGAACTTATGTGGAGTGACTTGGGAACATATGTTGCTCCTAAGGCATTCAATGCCGGAGCTGGCTTAAAGTCCATTGGCATGTTAGTTTGTAGAGTAGTGCGTTTGCTAGAAGGTACTCTGTTGGTGCCAAAGTATGATGGAAGGTCTATTAAATACACACCAGTGTCTGCGGCTAGCTGAGATGCTGCAGTCTGATGTATTGCAGTATATAAGGGCAAATCATCTTGAGGTACAGTAGGTGCAGAGAAGAGACTTTGAGTACTTTGGCTGCTGTGACAGCGAGTTGACGTGCTGGAGAGGTGTGTGAAGAATCTGACACAAGATACAACTGAGTGTCTGGAACTGTTGTCTCTTTTGTTTTCACTAGCGGCTTGTTTTAAGACCCTTAACCTTGCCATGGCTGTGACATGCTCACATTGTTTTTCCAAAACTTACCTCCCCTGGCGGTATTCCCGAGTGTAGCTTGGGGTAAAGTTTCAGTACCACAAGCGGTAACCCCGAGCTACACTCGGGCTTACTATGCGGCGCTGCTGTGGGATCTGTTCTTCTCTTACCTTGTCCTGTGCTCCCGCAATGTCCCTCCTGCAGTGTCCCCTGTAATGTCCTCCACGGATGCCGGCATCTGTTTTCTGGGTTCCGTCCCCTGCGACGTCGGGACATGCGGGGACGGATCGTCGGGAAATTTGAAAATGACAAAGTGACATTCACTAAAATTGCATAGTAAAACATTACTGTATCAAACTATTTCACATACATTTTGTCCCTAGTGCTTTGTCCTGTGCCCTGCCTACATTTTTACTGTTCTTTCTGCCTGGAAACTGAGAAACGTCCATGGCATCCAAAAAGCCTCTCTTTAGGTCAAAATCGGTTTTAGACCAGCTAGAGAACAGCGATAATAAAGAACTACTTGCAGAATTGAGTGATGATTCGTGGGGAAATTCGTCATCAGACACTGAACGATTTTGCGACTTTGCTCAGTGATGTGCGAACTTGGCGCTATATTTCAAAATTCTTTGTTTTTGGTTTGAATATATTATTGAATTAAATTTACACCCTGTTCCAAATTATTATGCAAATTATATTTTTCTCATTTACCTAAATAATTGATGTAAATAACAGTCAGCATAATTCTCATGTTATCAACTATTAAGAGTACAATTCATATTTTATTGAACAAACCTCCTAATGATAACAGTATTTTTGTTAAACATAAAAAACTTACAATGCACTGTTCCAAATTATTACGCACAGTAAGTTTCAAAACACTTTATAGATTGTAAAGAACTGAAAATTGTAATTTGTTGTGTTTGCAGCATATTTACTGAAATCAAAAAGCTATTTCAATCAAACATTTAACAACATTTTAACTTTTTAAACATTTTAACAGGTCACGTTACATTTTAACATAGGACCCCTTATTTGATAGCAGCTTCACAAGTCTTGCATCCACTGAACTTGTGAGTTTGTGGACCGTTTCTGCTTGAATTTGTTTGCAAGATGTCAGAATAGCCTCCCAGAGCTGCTGTTTGGATGTAAACTGCCTCCCACCCTCATAGATCTTTTGCTTGAGGATGCTCCAAAGGTTCTGAAGAGGATTGAAGTCAGGGGAGGATGGAGGCCACACCATGACTTTCTCTCCTTTTATCCCCCATAACAGCCATTGATGCAGAGGTATTCTTTGGAGCATGAGATGGTGCATTGTCATGCATGAAGATGATTTTATTACGGAAAGCATAGTTCTTCCTTTTGTACCAGGGAAGAAAGTGGTCAGTCACAAACTCCACATAGAAACACAAGATCAGAGTGAGCGCACTAAATGGACAAGGAAAGCTGCTGGCATAAAGGATAAAACCTCACAATCCTCAGAGAACCTAATAATAAAATAAGAATGCAGCACTCATGATGAAAGCTTATTGTTAAAATATGTTAAAAACTGTTGATATAATGAATAAATAAAATGACAAGTGAAATAGTGAACAGGTGATTTTAGTAGAATAGTTATTTGTGAGCCACCAGGAGTTAACTTACTCTATTATTAGTGTTAATTGTGTGCTTAAGTGAATATTAATTAAATATTGGATCGCCAGGCACTAATTACACCCTCTCTAGGTGTATGAAATTAAACTATGAATTCTTATACTGTACCGCGCTCCAATATTATCAACCTTTTGTGATTAACCTTTTTTGGTTGTGTGAATTTCTTATATACCACCTATAATCCAATCATTACTTACTTCTATGGTGCTTAAATATACAATTAACATAAATTAATTTATAAATATGAATTAGAAAATTATATGTGATTATAACAAATATTAATAAAAAATTAATGAAAAATTGGAATGTCAATTCTATGTGAATAAAATAATAAAAAAAAAAAAAAAAAAAAAAAAAAAAAAAGGGAAATGTCAATTATTTTCTTTGAATTTGAGATGGTGTTGTTATTCAATTTAGTTAATGTGATAAGTCTGTGTTGGCAGCTTGAACCTCTCCCTCGTCTCCTCTCTTTGTGCTTTCTTCACTGGCTGCTTTGTTTATTCCTCCATATACGGAACATGCAGAGAAGGGAAAAGAAACATAGTGTCTTATCCGGGATATAAGTGATTTATTGCTCTTTGATCTCCCACTCACATTGTGTAAATGTAAATAACGCTTTGAATACAATGTAACAAGATCCTGCTTCAGACAGCCTGGCTGATGTGTTTGCTTGCAGTAAATATACTCGCCGTTCCTCTGTGGATGCGTGATAACGTCACCGCCCCTCCCCTACGCGTTACGCTACAGGGACTCGTAGCTTCCTCTGGGGGATGTGGATTGATTATGAAATCCACATCCCCCAGAGGAAGCTACGAGTCCCTGTAGCGTAACGCGTAGGGGAGGGGCGGTGACGTTATCACGCATCCACAGAGGAACGGCGAGTATATTTACTGCAAGCAAACACATCAGCCAGGCTGTCTGAAGCAGGATCTTGTTACATTGTATTCAAAGCGTTATTTACATTTACACAATGTGAGTGGGAGATCAAAGAGCAATAAATCACTTATATCCCGGATAAGACACTATGTTTCTTTTCCCTTCTCTGCATGTTCCGTATATGGAGGAATAAACAAAGCAGCCAGTGAAGAAAGCACAAAGAGAGGAGACGAGGGAGAGGTTCAAGCTGCCAACACAGACTTATCACATTAACTAAATTGAATAACAACACCATCTCAAATTCAAAGAAAATAATTGACATTTCCCTTTTTTTTTTTTTTTTTTTTTTTATTATTTTATTCACATAGAATTGACATTCCAATTTTTCATTAATTTTTTTATTAATATTTGTTATAATCACATATAATTTTCTAATTCATATTTATAAATTAATTTATGTTAATTGTATATTTAAGCACCATAGAAGTAAAGTAATGATTGGATTATAGGTGGTATATTAAGAAATTCACACAACCAAAAAAGGTTAATCACAAAAGGTTGATAATATTGGAGCGCGGTACAGTATAAGAATTCATAGTGAACAGGTGATGGTATAGATACACAAGGTGGGTAAAAATGACTCAAAGTCCCAACTAATACCATAAAAAACATAAAAGATGTAAAGTTCTGGTGATCCAGTAAACGGGTGAATGGATGGATGATATCACTGTTCCATAAGCACAGGGTGTTCAAATTGGTAACGAATAAAGTGCAGGTGCTGTAAATGAAGTATGCTTGCACTTACCAGAAGCGCAAAGAATATGCGCATATAATAAATATCAAATCACAATCCGGGACCTCACAGTCATCGTGATAATGGTCATCAGAAGGTTAATAGGGTCACCAATGGTTCGCACACATCAGGTAGCTCTCCAAACATCATAATGGACCAGAATCCAGTGAAGGTGAAACACGCGGATACTCCCTTAAGCGATTCCAGTTGTTTAGGTTTAGATCCAGGTGTGAATCACCTAAACAACTGGAATCACTTAAGGGAGTATGCGCATATTCTTTGTGCTTTTGATGTGAAACCAATAATGGGTAACCAGAAATGTCCGAATGTGATCTTATTGCAATTGCAATTCCCGATTGGTCCGGAGAGACCAAAGAGGAGATAATAGGGGCCAACCTATCTCATTCAATAAGGACATAAAAAAGGGAGCCAATGTAGGGGCAAAATGTTTATAATAACTGGAAGTAATCCCATCAGGGCCCGGTGCTGTGGAAGTTTTTAGTATGCTAATCGCACGGGTTATTTCCTCCAAAGTACATGGGGCATTGAGAGAGGATTTCTGAGAGGGTGTGAGAGCAGGGAGGGGTATAGAGTAAAGCCATGAGCCATTTGGAGAAGCGGAGGTTGGTTGTGGGGGAGCCAATTAGGGTGGAATAAAAATTTTCAACAATTCCCGGGACTTCATGGGGGAAGAGAGGAGATACGGCTGGATTTAGTATGTAACTTGTAGATATGTGGGGGTCGTATAGAGTGGTTTAACCCCTTCACACCTAAGGGTAAAACAAATCTAAATGCCTAAGCACAATTCTGCAACGTTGACATGTGATAGTAAAACCGTACATATCACAACTACTTTGTACATCCAGGTGGATTATACCTTGGTTTGTTCAGGACAAATTGGGCTTTCATTTGGTGGTAAATGGTAATGGATATCTCCTGATTTTTTTTTTTTTTATTATCAAAGGAAAACTGGCCCAAAATAGTAAAAAAAAATTTTTTTTTTTATTTAGCTGTGTGTTTCTTGTTACAACCATAACCTACCACCAAAGAATAACCCAAAATAAATTCTCCAACTCTTGACGGTTGCAGCGATACCATATATGCATATGTTATTTGTGGTTTGTACCCGTAGTACAGCCCAGAAACAATAGTGCACATTTTGTTTTTGTCTTTTTTTTTTTCACCTAAAACACACTGACACTGACATTAACACTAACTGACGCCGATACCAATTTTTTTTAAATCCTGACCTTTGACCCTGACCTAAACACTAACCCTGGCACTGAACTAGATCAAACCTTGATCTAGGTATTTTTCTTTTTTAATATTTATTTATCCTTTTTTTTTTTACAAACATTTTTTTTTTCTCTCTATGCCAGGAGTTAGAGAGATACAATGTATCTCTCTTCTCCATTCATAGAGAAAAAAAACAAGGGGGCTGGGCTGCACAGTGACTGATCACTGTGATAGCCAATCAGAGGCTATCACAGTGATCATGTGACCCGGGACCGATCGTTAGAATGGGACCCAGTGCTCTCAGTGACACCGCTGTCTCAGTGCTGGTGTCAAAGACCGGTACGCAAATATGCAGCCCCACGGAAAAAAGCCCAGTTCCGTGAGGCCGCATATTTGTGACGTTGGCGGGAAAGGGGTTAAGTTCTGTGCCAACATAGTAGAGGCTGAGTTACTATGTAATAAAAAATAAGACCTTCGATCAGCGCAGAGCTTTTTCAGTTTTCTGGGAAAGTAAAGTATTCAGTTCTAGACGCTTTTGCGATAACATCGTTTAATTAAGGAGAGATGGATTGCCAACATGTGCTCTATGTGCTTCCAATTCTCGGGTACGTTTCTGAATTTGTTTCCACCACTCTCTGTTTCTAGAAGGAGCCATGGAAATGAGGTGGCCTTGCAGGACCCCCTTATGAGCTACCAACAAAATGGCCAGGGAGATATCGAGAGTTGTGTTTGACTGAAAGTATTCTTGAATGGAGGTAACTACTTCTTGGCGAGAGTTAGTATCTGTAAGCATAGAGTCGTTAAGTCGCCAGGAGTAGGTGCTAAAGCTATGAAAGTGATAGCGCAATAATATTATGATCTGACCAGGGGCTTAAGTGAATGCAAGCTTTCCTAGAGTTAGCTAGCAGAATGGGGGAGCAATAGATATAATCTAGTCTAGCATAAGAGTCATGTGGGTGGGAGTAAAATGAATAATCTCTGGCTCCTACATTATGTGCTCTCCAGGAGTCTACCAGTTGAAGTGTATCTAATTTTTTGGGAAGGCTTGGGAGGATGGTGAGGACGAGCTTCAGTCTAAAAGGGGATTAGCTCCCATCAAGAATTTTGAAAAAGCGGGAGAAGGATGCTTGCGCCAAATTTGGTGCATAGCCATTAGCGATCGTGAGTTCACGTCCCGAGAGGGTGCCTTTAATAATGATGAACCTGCTCTCAGGTCGCAATAAACATGTTGAATATCGAAGGGAAATGAGTTGTGTAAAAAAAATAGCCACTTTTAGTGGAGTGTAAAGTGTAGAACCCCTGTTTGTAAGATCTATGAAAATATGTTGAGTATTTAGCAGTTGCAAAATGAGTTTTCTGTAGTAAAATAATTTTTGCCCCTAGGCGTTTATTCTGAAGGCAGTTTTACGCTTATTTGGTGAGTTGAAACCCTGGACATTATGTGAGATACCAAAGATCCATTATCTCCTGCGCTCAAGGACTCAGATCAAACAGGCGTTAGTGACAAGCAGCTTGTTGTGTGTTCATCCACTGGTGATCAGAGCTTGTGCAGCTCTATCATGAAGCTGGGGAAGCTTAATAAAACTGTAGAGGAAGATGAAAGAAAGAGCGCACAAACCTTGCGCATTACCTCAATAAATAGTGACTAATTTTATTAATAAGGAAATATACTCACAAAATGATTGTATAACAGGCATAAGTAACCATAATCCAAACAGGGTTACAGGTAAATCAAAAAAGGGGGGATGAAGGCTAACGCGTTTCGAAGGCAAGGAGATATTCAGCCACCGAGTGTCAGTATTACAGCAGTTCAGCCTGTTTAGTGAACTGCTGTAATACTGACACTCAGTGGCTGAATATCTCCTTGCCATGGGAACTCTGCCATACTGAAGTTTCTATCTGCCAAACCCAGCTCTGATGAAGAAGGGAGCACCCTTCGAAACGCGTTAGCCTTCATTCCCCCCCCCCCTTTTTGATTTACCTGTAACCCTGTTTGGATTATGGTTACCTATGCCTGTTATACAATCATTTTGTGAGTATATTTCCTTATTAATAAAATTAGTCACTATTTATTGAGGTAATGCGCAAGGTTTGTGCGCTCTTTCATCTTCCTCTACAGCATTATGTGAGATACACTGGATTATCATAGCAAACAAGAGTCACATCAATCAGCATTATGGTATTCATCTGAAAAGTATCCAATATAATTTGTCTAGTCAGTGGAGCATCCGGATCCACATCAGATAAGGCAAAATCCGCCAGTATCAATTCATGGAGCATCCAAGTCCCAATATGGTGGCCCGGACATCCATAAATTGGTATATAAACAACATCATGTACAAAAATAGAAACATAAAGCAATCGAATTGGAGCTTTAAGAGCCCCTACAACTAAAGAAATTGCAATAAACCATGGATCAGGTAGGCTATCTGCGCTTCCTGAAAAGACAGAAAAATTAACCAATAAAGGGCCAATCAAGCCCAAACTCTGCCACCGTAAAACATGGGAGGCGGAGTAACCACCCCGCAACTGGTCGGTGACATCTCTGGCCATGCTAGGCGGTAGGGTGGGGTCACGTGTCCAAGAGTCCAACAGCACCAGCATATGGGCGGTAAAGTAAAGGCCTGATGACCCTTGCTGAACTTTTGCTCGTCCATATAGAAAAGGAGATCAAACATAATATACATATGAGTATGAAGAGATTGCAGCATTGTACAAAAACCCATCGAAAGAGTGAGTGACATGTAAATGACCGGAATCCTTTCATCCTGGTTCTTGTCTGACTCTCCTCCTTTCCCTTCGTGGAGATGGAGTATGCCAAATTGAAGATACTCGAGGAGTGGAAGGAGGGAGTTGAGGTCAGGGAGCGTCCGCCAGGCCTAATTTAGCCAGAATTTCTCGACCTTCAGATTGAGATGTAGCTATGCTTGTGCTACCATTGTGTGAGACTATCAGTTTAAAGGGGAAGCCCCATTTGTAGCGGATACAAGCTGAGAAAAGGATGGATGTGATTTCCTTCATTTTTCTGCGTTTCTCCAATGTAGCCAGAGAGACATCAGGAAATATTTGCAAAGTTGAACCTTCAAAAGTGATCGTTGAAGTATTGCAGGCAGCCCTGAGTATATCTTCTTTGATGAGGAAATCTGTCACACACAGGACAATGTCACGAGGTGGTTTATCATTAGGTGGTTTTGGGCACAAAGCTCTATGGATGCGATCACAAGCAAAGGACCCAGTATCGTGGTCTGGAAGAAGGGACCCAAATAACTTGGTTGTGGCCTGTGAAAGGTCAGACACAGTCTCAGGGACTCCCCGAACTCGTAGATTATTCCTGCGGTTGCAATTGTCAAGATCCTTAACCTGCGCCTGCAATTGCGTAAAGGCCATCTGTAAATGATCGTGATCTCTGGACAGCTCGCCATAAGCTAAGCTGAGCTCATCATGTTTGCTCTAAACAGTTAGTTCTGGAGCCCAACGCAGCTATTTCCTAAGAGAGGATGTTTGTACTCTTGTGGAGTTCTGATTGGAATTTAGCGGCTAACTTGGTGTACATAGTTTCCAAGCAAGATTCCAAATCCCCATTTGTGCGTACTCAATGTCCTGAGCTGAAGGATGGGCTGCGGTATCCTGTGTAGAACTGGAAGGAGATGCTCGTTCTGTAATATCTTGAGACATGCTGCAAATCTCATGCGTTTTCATTAAATATGTCGTAAGGGATATTTGAGCATTACCCCTACTTTTCTTTTTGGTGAATGGCATGCAGGAAGTCTCCGGGGGAGGGGGGTGATCAATTGAACATTGTATAACCAAGGGTATTAATGACCCCAGGGGACCTATAATGCCCGGTACCGGTAGTAGTTACATAGATGCAATCAGGCGTCAATTTCCATATTGTAAAAATGAAATTCAACATGAGGAAGTGAGGGATGGATATCAGCTGTGGTGGTTATGCACAATAGGAGCTAGGGAACCAGATGCAGGCCCAACCACTGTTATGGGGTCAGAAAAGGCACAGGGGACTACCTGGCATGGGATCTCCTGGGTTCCAAGACCCAGACAGATGGTGTGTAGGGAGCCCAGATGCCTGACTCCCAAACAATTGCAGGCTAACGCAAGCCTCTTGGCCCAATAGAAGCCACATTTATAATACCACAGGCCTCAAGGCCCACAGACCCCAGCCACTGCCACCGGAGCACCAACAGGGGACCTGATGGGTGTTGGCTGCCCTCTCCCACGCCTAGTGTGCTCACAGGTGGGTGGATGGCTTCCAGATCCGGGCCGGGCTGTGTTGCAGCAGGCTGTTGGTCTGCTGCAACTGATAGGGGACAAACCCACTCCACTCCCCTCCTCCAGGTGTGGGCAGGGTCGTAGAGACCTCCGATGCCCGCCAAGGGCTCACCGCTGCCCAGATGGCAGCAAATTGCGTGGGGGGATTATATCGCGGCAGGCCCCGCCAGAACTGGTATGGCTGCTGCCACGGAGAAAGGCCAAAGTTGCTCCACTCCCCTCCTCTGGGTACGGGCAGGGTCAGGGAGACCTTCTGATGCCCACTGATTGCTTGCTGCTGCTCGGATGGCAGATTAGATGGCAAGGCGCCGGAGCTATGGATTATGCGGCCGCCATCTTGGACACGCCCCCGAGCCCCCATTTCTGTGGCCTGAGCTTCCATTTCTGCTTTCTTGTATGCAGCCTGAGCCTCCATTTCTGCTTTCTTATATGTGGCCTGAGCCTCTATTTCTGCTTTCTTATGTGCGGCCTGAGCCTCTATTTCTGCTTTCTTTTGGGCGAAAGCTGCTTGAATTTTAGAAGCATCAGCACAGGCTTTTATTAGTTGTTGACTGAGTATAGAAGACCTTGATTGTAGGGATTTGGAATATCTTGAGGAGCGTCAAGTAGACGCAGAATGATAAGATCTGGATTAATGGAGCTGTGTAATTCTCACTTCTGTCTTTCTCTTTGTTCGCACCACTAAATTGTCTCAAGATTGAGCTCCTCAAAACTCCTTAATTCTTCCAATGACCCTTGAGTGTTCTACCGCTTTAAGAGCGCAATATATTTAACACACAGTCTTTGATAATTCTCATAAGCAACAATCAATTGATGGATAGTGCCCTCTAGTCGTATTGGCTCATGAAATTGTTGGGAGAAAGCAGACATGCATTTAACAGTATTAGACTATAAGTCATTAATATTAGACAGCAATTCTAACTTGTCAGCATTAAGATTCTCTTGCATTTTCCAGGATGGTTTTCTTAAGGGTTTTTCTCTTTTGTATAATTTATAGTTTAAGTCCTGCTCTGGATGAAGCTCTGATTGTGGTTGTGTATTAGTTTCCCCAGACTGTATATTACTTTCCTGAAACATCATGTTAACAAGGAGAGAGGTTGATAGAAAGTTTACAGAGAAATCTATAAATTTTTATGTGGGGGAGATCAGATTTCCTAGGCAATGGTTGCAGAA